GACATACATGTGTGTGTGTGTCCTAAGTAGCAAGGTATTGTTTAATATAATTGTGTGTGTGTGCGCGCGCGTGTGTGCGTGTGTGTGCGTGCGTGCGTGTGTGTGTGACATAATACATATTTGATATAAATTTACATTTTATATAAAAATTATTAAATATAACGTATTTTTTCTATGAGATTATATTACGTTCAAATTATTTGCAGTATATTATTTAATTATTTGATTTAATATGTATTCTGTTGAGAATACAAGTATTTGAGTTCAGCGCGTTTCTGTACTCGAGTGTACAGACCAATACTTTATGCGTGACTGTACTGTACTCGACTCAAGCGCAGCTCGGAAAACTTCGACACTCATCGTAATTAACCGATATCCGTTTAAGTGATCTCTCTCACAGTCTCAGCTTGAATTCCGATATGAGAGGACAGCACACTCGCGGATTTTAAAATTTACTTTTCAATAAACTACGTTCAATTATAAGTTTCTACTTAATTACTGGCTCAACCCATCCAACCACGCTCTGCTAACAAGAAGTATTATCATATTCTTACTATGAAGTAAATGTACAATAATTATATTTCATACATTATTAATGCTGCATCGAATGATAATTATATCGCATATTAATCGTCGTGATAAAAAGTATCAAATATTTCTTAATTTTTTATTTTAATACCATATTGATAAAGTTGATAAACAATATACGTAAAAAGGTGCTTGATTTTTCTTACACATGTGTTTAATTGTCTTATTCTATTCATAAAATTTTTTTAAATTTATATAATATAATCTATTTTTTTTATATTAATCTGCGTATATCATATTTTATCTCTTATTTATTTCAAATGAAACTAAGTAATCTCTTGTTTTTTGTCTTTAAATATTTCAATACTTATCAAATATTATATTTTAATATTTACGTAAATGTTTACAATAATAACGCACAAAACATAATATACATCACAAATTTAGTAGCAACTAAATTAATTCTACATGTTAAACTTAAAATATAAGTTTTTTATAATAGAAACAACCTAAAGTATATTTGAATTTGCCGCGCTTTTGGTCGATGAGACGGGGCTTAACATCAAAGATGGATATATGTATTGTGGAGACACATTTACACTTACACACACTCTCTCAGTTATACTTCATGCCATATACTCATGTAAACATACTCCGCGACCAGATGGCGTGCTCTCGCAAACACCATACTCAATCTCCCACCTAGATACTTCTTCGAAAACCTTCCTTCTCCTTCGAGAACGAGTTTCCTTCGAGAACATTATCATTCCTATTAGAGCCGTCCTTATATACGACATAGTTACAACCTCGCCATAAGATATTGTATTTGTTATTTAATAAACGTTATTACTTGTTAACTTGAGTGCCATCCATTACCTACATTCATTATATGTAGCAATCCGCTACATAACTGGTGACCCCGACGTGATCTGAAGACGCGATCACTCAATGTGATCAATAGATAGATTATATCAGCAATCGCACAAACGCCCGCCATTACTACTCATACGGTGAGCACGTGCAAGCATATCGTTATTTATGACGCTGCTACCAAGCCTCCCGACTGATGTATCCACGGGAGAAGAGGACCTTAGCATGCGAGACCAGGCACAACGTACAACGTCCTGCCAAGAAGAATTCGGGGCAGAATTCCAACTCCTAAAAACTGGCCATGTTTTAGAAGAACTGCCCCAAGTCGTTCTCACTACTTGAATCCGTTTTATGCTTATCGTATAAGATCGGATGAGGTCAAATACTATGCGGTCGTTCGCCACCTCGATGAAGTCACCTTGACGACCGTTTCCGACATCCTGAATAACCCACCGGCAAGCGATAAGTACGGCAAAATTAAAGAGGCCTTAACTTACTAGGTTCACAGATTCACAGGAGAAGCAAATGCGGACGCTCCTATCAGGCATCGAGCTCGGTGATAAGAAACCCTCGCAACTCCTACCGGAAATGAGATCTCTTGCAGGAGAAAACGCCACCGAAGGCCGGCTACGCACCCTCTGGCAACAACGCATGCCCACCCGCATCCAGGAAATGCTGTTGATTTTGGATAACACTAATCTAAACAAGTTAGCGGAATGCGTCGACAAATTTCATGAACACTTCACCGATGGACATCCATGCAGCACAGGCGATGCTAACAAGTGCCCAAGGTGTCATCAATGCAGTCCAAGCGACATCAACGGATCTACGAGACACCGTACAGCAGTTGACCAATTAAATGACCACGGACCTACGAGACATTATACAGCAGTTGGCCAAGCAAATAATCACGCTATTAACCCGGATGGACAGCTGTTAACCCGGACAGACGATCCCGCTCAAAGTCCCGCAGCAGAAGCCGCACACGACGATCGAGCAACATGCACAATACCGCTACGAATGAGGCAAGTCAGTGCTATTATCATCGGAGATTTGGCGACCAAGCACAAAAGTGCATAGCGCCCTGTAGCGCACATGCAAATTGTCAGGGAAACGAATAAGATCGCCGTTAGTTGAAGCCACGACGGTCTTGAGCTATCCCTGCGGCTCCACGTTACCAACAGGCCTAACCTTCCTTGTTGACACTGGCGCGGATATTTTGTTCTTATCATCGTCGGAAATCAAGAAAACTATCTTACCGATGCCACTCGTTCTATATGCCGTCAACGGCTCACAGGTCAAGACGTATGGACAAAAAATACTTAGACTTTGGCATACGCAGACCAATCACGTGATAATTCACCGTGGCCGACGTCTCACGTCCGGTCATTGGAGCAGACTTGCTCAAACACTATGGATTTATAGTGGACATTCAAGTGAAACATCTTATCGATAAACTAACGCAATTAAATGTCCCAGGGTTTAAGAGACAGATTGCCTACACTTCCATTAAAACGATCGATTCCACTCCAACATACCATCACATCCTGGCGGATTACTCGAGAATCACCAAGGAACCACGGTTACCGGCAAACACGGCTCATGGAATTTTCCACCACATCAAAACTAAAGGTCCTCCAGTTGCCAGCCGACCGCGACAACTGCCGCCAGACAAATTTAAAATTGCAAAAGAAGAATTTGTAAATTTGGTACAGTTCGGCATCTGACGACTTTCCAATAGCTCTTGGGCGGCTACTACTGCATCTGGTATCAAAGAAGCAACTCGGAGTGTGGAGACCTTGCGGGGATTACCGAGGCCTAAACGCGGTGAC